AGGGGCTTAAAACATCTGAACAGTTCCAACACTTTTAATAAGGGTAACTATTAAATGAACATACTGCTTTCCAGCGCTAAAATGGACAAAGAACAGCAGAGGTGAATAGTCGGTGTCTGTCACCAGTATGGTAAAAAGCATCAAAAATTTGGGTTGGCAAGCTTTAACAAAATTGGGCATCGATTAGCCAATGCATTATTTCCAGCCTGAGGATGATTATAGTAATAACTCATAAACAGTACTTGAGTTGAAGACAAATTAGTGGCAGGTGCTGTCGCACTTGAACAATAAAACATCAATGTGGATGCGGTGGTTTATTTCCTCCTGAGAATGTGGTAGCATAAGCACTGGGAACATTTAAAACGACATGCATCAAAACTATGCAGCCACTACGTCCCACACTGATGAGTCTTTTATGCAGCCTGATCCCGAGTTGTGTCATGCTGCCCTGTTTTTGGAAAAGAAATTACTTAACACACCACAACATCTGTTTCACCCAATTGGTAATTGCTATTAGGACAGAGATGGAATAAATTTCGGTCAGAGCGCCAATGCAAGAGGCAACTCACAGGCAGGAATTATTGGAGCTTTCTTTTTTTGACTTCTAAATAAGGGACAGATGGCATCACCTTGGTGCTGCAGTTTGCACTTCTCCTACAAACTAGCAACGATTCAAGAAGATGAGCTTGATTTCTATCACCCGTTTCGCATTATAAGCACCAAAATGGCATTTATTATGGGCTATCCTCTCTTGTCATTCGTCTTTTCAATCTCAGTACAGATTCGTCAGGTATTACTGACCTCTCATCTAATTTGAAATGACCACTTTCGGGTGGATAGAGTGAATGAAGCAACCTTTTGTCCTGGTAGATGCGGCTGATGTGGTGGTTGACTTTTCCCTAGGACTGCGGTAGCAAAGCACTGGGCACAAAAAAGTGTCACTGTATCAAAAGTATGCAGCCACTACGTCCCACACGCATAAGCCTTTTCTCTAGCCTGATCATGGGGTCCACAATGCTACCGTATTTTCGGGCGAGCAATCACTTGTTGTCAGCCACAACACTTGTTTTGATTGGCTGGTAGCTGCTATTACGACAGAGCGACAATGTGAAAGGCAAATCACACAGATGGATTACCAGCGCTATTTTGCTCCCTTTTTCGCCTTCTAAATAAATGAACAGAACGGCGTATCAACTTTGTGCTAAAGGCTCCGTCTCTCCTACAAACTAACTAAAATTCACGAAGCTGAGCTTGATTTCTATTGTCCGCTTCGCATTCTAAGTACCAAAGTGGCATTTATTATGGGCTATCCTCTCGTGCCATTCGTCTTTTCAATCTCAGTACAGATTCGTCAGGTATTACTGACCTCTCATCTAATTTGAAATGACCACTTTCGGGTGGATAGAGTGAATGATGCAACCTTTTGTCCTGGTAGATGCAGCTGATGATTCGCTAAACAAGAGGAATGGATTTTAGAATTCTAGCTTTATTAATGTCTTTTGAGAAACCTCACAGAAAACCGTGGTTTTAGCTTGGCTAGATATTCCTATTTCCTTCGACTCAACAGATGCACATGCTTTACTCTAACCAGTTGTCCATCTTCATTTGGGTCTTGATTTCTTCTCTTATACTAAGTGCTTGAAGTAATTCTGCAAGAAATTGACTACTCGCACTTGCAGAAGATTTTATTCACCATAAAATTTTTGGAATGCTAAATGGGCGGGCAATAGCGTAAAGACGAATTTTGACAGATGTGACAATTTTGTCACAGGATGTCAAAGCAACACTTAGAAATTCTGATGCCGTGGGAGAGAAATTCATTAAGAAATTGATGGTGGAAGGCAAAGTCTTGCATTACTGTGACTGAAGTGTGGTTGGTAAAGGAGGCGGAGATAAAGGAGGCGAAACCGAAAATTGAGACTACATATTGGCTTGACGCTTCCGATTTTATTCAAAGTCACTGTATTTTTGGCACTCTTAAGAAGACAATTGTGTGAACAGATGAGTCAGGACCCACGCTGGTCAGCGAATTTGGATTCTGATTTTCCCACCCGAATCCGGCGGCACATATAAATTACATGTGACATTCGGATGACTGTAGTAGTCAGTCATGTTCCTAAAATCCTATGCTAATTGAAACACTCACCCTCATATTTGTATAACAAAACTAGTCATAGAATCTCCTTCAACTGAAGGACTGCATTGTAAATGCCTACCCACCTTCAAACGAGCTCTCCACAAATGGTGCTGTGAAATGAATCATGATTCCTTGTGCTGGCTAGCATGCGCCAAGTTTCCAGTGGCAAATCATGCCACATGGGTGGGTGGAAGGATAACCTGCATTTTGCAATACACCTCCAAATTTTGTGGTATTTGCGGCGTCGGAAGCGCACATATCTAGAATGTGGATTATCTAGCTGGAACATCCAATCATCAGACATGCAAAGAACCGGGTTTACTAGCTACCAGTTATTAGACAATTGTTTAGCGTATTCATTCTCTAAGGAATCAAGTGGATGACTTGCCATCTCCCCTCCAATTGGGGTGGGAGATTGAGAGGAAGTGAAGTTCCAGTTGAAATCCAACAGCCGTCTCCACCTCATCCGTACGAAAGGCCAGAAGGAGAGCTTTTGCATCGGTACTGGGGATCAGTGGACCCGGAATGCAGTCACCACAAAACAAATGCGATTGTCGGTGCTCCTCGCCCCGCGAGACTGCCATAGCGCTGAAGCTGATTTGTCTCCGTATTGGTATGTTGACCGAAGCAAAATGCTGCAGCACGTGCCTAGTGCCGGTCACTTGAGTGAGCAGTTCAATCACCTCAAGATAGTCCTACCATGCCAAGAGAGGGGAT